TTTTCACGAATATTTTCCCATATCTCAATTATTTTAACTCGTTTGAAACTAGCGTAACTCAATCAATTAGGCCAATGAATTTTTGTTTATCACGCCCGACTAATAACGCCCCGTCCACACATATATTACGCCAGAGAAGTTTGAAAACGGCGTTTTCACTCTGAAAACGCATCAGATGTTTTTCGTCCACACTACGCCAGAGATATTTGAAATAAGCAACAGTCATTGATCATTTTTAGGAATCTTGGGCTGTGAAATCACATAGTTATCGTGTTGTAAGCGGTTGGAAAAGCTATGTTTTGAGTTTTATTTGTAAGTGTGCGTTTTTCACCGATATTTTCCCATATCTCAATTGTCTTAATCTGTGTGGGACTAATTTAACTCAATCCATTAAACCAATGAATTACGTTTATCATTCCCGACTAATAATATTACGTCTATACAACGCCAGAGAAATTTGAAAATGGCGTTTTCACTCTGAACACACATCAAATGTTTTTCCGTCCACACTACGACAGAAAAATTTGAAAAAGCAACAATCACTGGTCATTTTGGATTCGTGTTTGAGGAAAACCCGTGCAGGGAAAGCACACGATTATCGTGCTGTCATCCTTTCGAAAAGCTTTGTTTTGAGATTTTTATTTGCAAGTGTACAAATGTTTTTCATTGATATTTTTCCGTATCTCAATTGTTTTAACCTATTTGTAACTAAAGTAACTCAATCAATTAAGCCAATGAATTATGTTTATCATGCCTTACTAATTACGCCCCCTCCACACTACGCCAGAAAAATTTGAAAACGGCGTTTTACTCTGAAATTAGTAATCACATACAATTCCTATAAAATACCCTATTTTTGCTAAAATCTGTCAGAGCTAATCTAATATATTTAGAAGAACGACAAATTACAGAATATTAGAAAAACCGTCTGAATAACGTTGCTTTTTATCAATTCAAAATGTCAGACAATATCATTTCCATGGTGTGCCAAAGTATGGAAAAATTTCACCGAAGGAAAGTATAAATATTAAGGAGTTTAGGCCAAAATGAGGANCCTTTCCAAAAGTTCTGTTTTGAGAGGTTTATTTGTTAGTGCACAAATGTTTTTCACGAATATTTTCCCATATCTCAATTATTTTAACTCGTTTGAAACTAGCGTAACTCAATCAATTAGGCCAATGAATTTTTGTTTATCACGCCCGACTAATAACGCCCCGTCCACACATATATTACGCCAGAGAAGTTTGAAAACGGCGTTTTCACTCTGAAAACGCATCAGATGTTTTTCGTCCACACTACGCCTGAGATATTTGAAATAAGCAACAGTCATTGATCATTTTTAGGAATCTTGGGCAGTGAAATCACATAGTTATCGTGTGGTCATCGGTTCGAAAAGCTACGTTTTGAGAGTTTTATTTGTAAGTGTGTGTTTTTCACCGATATTTTCCCAGATCTCAATTGTCTTAACCTGTGTGGGACTAATGTAAGTCAATCAATTAAGCCAATGAATAATAATACCACGTCTACACAACGCCAGAGAGACTTGAAAACGGCGTTTTCACTCTGAACACACATCAAATGTTTTTCCGTCCACACTACGGCAGAGAAATTTGAAAAAGCAACAATCATTTGTCATTTTGGATTCGTGTTTGAGGAAAAGCCGTGCAGGGAAAGTACATGATTATCGTGCAGTCACCCTTTCGAAAAGCTCTGTTTCGAGAGGTTTATTTTTAAGCGTACAAATGTTTTTCATTGATTTTTTCCCCATATTTCAATTGTTTTAACCTATTTGTAACTAAAGTAACTCAATCAATTAAGCCAATGAATTATGTTTATCATGCCTGACTAATTACGCCACGTTCACAGTACGCCAGAAAAATTTGAAAACGGCGTTTTACTCTGAAATTAGTAACCACATACAATTCCTATAAAATACCCTATTTCTGTTAAAATCTGTCAGAGCTAATCTAATATATTTAGAAGAATGACAAATTACAGAATATTGG